ACTTCAGTGACCACAGACAACAAATAATACAGATTTTAAAGAATTAGTTCAGAAAAGTCACTAAGCAAGCAAACAACAAAAATAACCCCTGGGGAAGGGTGAGACTCTGATTTCCAGAGTAGCCACATTATATTGTCTAAAATATCCAGTTGCCAATGACAAATTATGAGCCATGCAAAGAAACAATACTGTACGGATGGCCTGCACACAGAAAAAAAGCAGTCAGTAGAAACTGTCCCTAGGCTTGCTAGACAAAGACTTTAAATTATCTATTTTAAATAGGTTCAAAAAACTAAAGGAAACTATGTCTAAAGTGCTAAAGGAAAGTATGGGAACAATCTTTCAATAAAAACATAGAAATTATAACTAAGAACCAAATAGAAATTCTGAAGTTTAAAATTATAATAACTGAAATGAAAATTTCACTAGAGTGTTCAACAGCAGATTTGAGCAGGTAGAATAAAGAATCAATGAACTTGATGATGGTCAATTGAGATTATCCAATCTTAGGAAAAGAAAGAGAAAAGAATGTAGAAAAATGAACAGAGTTTCAGAGACCTATAGTATATCATCAAGCTTATAACATATCATAACAAGAGTCCCAGAAGGAAAGGAAATAGAGAAAGAAGCAGAAGGAATATTTGAATAAACTGGAAGTCCCTAGTTCAGAGAAGGGACTTGTAATGATAACTTGAAAGTTTGGTTTTAGCGCTGGCAACAGATACTTTCAGTTTTCCTTGAAGTGACAGACTTACTATGTTCATTTTTGAGAAAATATCTGCCAGATACCCAAGGCTAAATAGCCATCATCTGTCTGTTATTCTTTCAAGGAAAAATCATACTCCACGAAAAATCACACTCCATTATTCTTTCAAGTGAAAACTGTACTCCATGAAAAAAGTTCAGCTTGCAATTTAAACAATCACAGGTGCTTTTCCTCAAGATGACCATCGTCTCCCTGAAATCCAGCAGAGGTGCTTGTTTTGCATTTTATTACATAGGGTATTAAATGGGCTTTTACTGAGTGACCAAGATTTAATAAAAATGCCTCCATCTTTACTGAGGCATCAAGGACATTATTAAGTAAAATTTTTTGTTGGTTGTTTTTAACCGTGACTGTATGGCCATAGAATTCTATGACAACTAATGTGGTTTGGGACCACTGCCTTGATTCATGCTAATGCACCAACAGGTTCACCCTTCTTTACGTTTACAATCAGTGCACGTGCCAACACAGTGAAAAGGACAAAAACTATTACAATATTTTATGATAATAATTTTGACCTTCAAGATCTCCAAAAGGCCTTTAAGGACCCCAAGAGGTCGATGGAACACACTTTGAGAACCACTAATTTAAGCTATTCACCAAGAGAAGTTTTAATACACTCTCAGCATCCTCTCACAGCAGCACATTTGGCTGTCACACCCTGGAAGATGGGCAATAGCATGGAAGATTCACTGTTTTCCTTGATTTGATCATTTATATGCCCTCTCAGGGAAAAGAAAGACTTATGTGCAAAAGACAGACTTATATGCAAAGGGAAAAGAAGACTTATGTCTGGGCTCCACCCACAGAGATTCTGATTCAGTGCTTAATATATGGGCCTATGGGATTTAATTTTGGGCAGGAGGAGACTGGTTCCATCAATCCTAAAGAGCTAATTCTGGAAGTTACTTGGGATCCAGCCAACTTAGCATGAATTTTGTGCTTTGGAAACAGAGGTTAAAAATATGGTTAAGCTGGGCACAGTGGCTCATGCCTATAATCCTAGCAATTTGGGAGGCTGAGGCAGGAGAATTGCTTAAGGCCAGGAGTTCAAGATCATCCTGGGCAACACAGTGAGACCCCCATCTCTCTACAAAAATTTAAAAATTGAAAATTAGCCAGACATGGTGGTATGCCTGTAGCCCTACCCACTCAGGAAGCTGAGCCCAGAGGATCACTTGAGCCCATGAGTTTTAGGCTGCAGTAAGCTATGATGATGCCACTGCATTCTAGCCTGGGCAACAGAGTGAGACCTTGTCTCAAAAAAAAAAAAAATGTGATTAAAAACTAAGAGGGACAAGAATCCACAGGACTAGTAACCTTATCAAATAAGAATATGAAGACGATAGGTTGGGGAATAGAATGTAACAAGTGCAAAAGGAAGGCACAGAATAGTGATTTATTTTCTGTAGCTACCAGCACAATATATTCATCAAAAATGATAGACTTTGAAATCCCTGCATTTCAATCATCATCAGTGCAATACCCTAAGGGTGTTGTGTTTTCTCATGCGTTATTCCAGACAGCTACCTAGTGGCCATTAAGGTGGAAGGTTCCACTGACACAAATAGAAATAAAACTCAGTAACCCCATGTGGCTTGAAAAGTGGATCATCCCAGCCTTACTGCTGCTCTTCTCCCTTATTGTCTGCCCTGGGGCCACGTCCCTGCTACCAACAATATTAAAATTGCTGAAGCTCCAACTGTGCGGTTTGACCAGGAGCCCGGAAGACAGGGTTTGTTTGTAGGAGGAGTTGAAACTCTTGGCTAGAGGTAAGATGTGGAATCCTCTCTGGAATTTAGATATTATACAACCACCATCCCGGACCACAGGCATTCCATTTTATTATGCTTTCCACTTTGTTTCCAGTGGAGGAAAACAAGATCTGTGGGGACACAATGTCTGCGGTGCCGTCACTGTCACTGCTGCAGCCAGGAATGTGGGGGTGCGGAGGCCTCTGAAGCGTCCCCTCCTGGGGCTGTGGCTGCTCTGAGCCTTGCCTCCCCCTGCAGCAGGGAGGGGGAAGAGGGCTCGGCTCAATAAATAATCACGCGATGACATCCGTGTCCTTTCCTTGGACATAGCACCAGGTTAAGGTCATAATGTTTTCTCGCACTAAGTTATCTGTATTTTATTACCTGCCTAACTGTTGCTGTCAATCGTCTTATTAATAACCGAAGGAATTGGAAAGGCTTTTGTTTTTTTCCAAGCCCCAAAGCTATGCTTGTCATAAAGATGAAAAGAATTATTATGCTGGGAACATGCAGAATTTCTTGATCACATTTTCTACAAGAAGCCTGACACATTTCAAAACTAATGAGGAGATTCCTCATGCATTTATCAATTTATTCCACACATCTGAAGAGCCCAAGGGGACCGTGGAGCTGTGCCACTCCTGAGCCTGTTTGCCACCCAGATCGTGGAAGGTTTTCCATTCCATACCGGGGGGGTTCCAGCAGACCAAATAGTCATTTAGGGAAGAATGGAAAATGATTCTGTGAGATGCCCACTGCATTTTATACCGCAGATGGGGGGTGAGGAGGGAACGCTCTTGCTCTCCTTATCTGATGTGGCCTGTGCCCCCTGACTGAGTCGGAGCACCCCATTTTTCTGTATGTCCTGTGGGACCTACGACTACCTACACCTGGCACACTGCATGGGACTTGAAAAGGGAAACAAGAAATTAGCCTAAGACTTGGTTTCTTCCCCAGGGGAGCTTTCAATTTTGCCAAGAGGTATGACTTTCAGGTATTAAGTAGGGAGCAGTATGTTATGTGCAAGATCTAGTATCATTGGATTCCAAAAGGTGCAGCTGAGGCAGCGAGTGCGGCCTCTGCTTCTTCGGTTAGGAGGGGAGAGGTCAGGGTGGCCTGGACCTTCAGGGAACAGAGCCAGGAGCAGGGAACTCAGGCCCAGCAGGAAAGGATTAAAGGTTGGCTGGGTGGGGAAGAGAGGAGGGCATTCCGGGCAGACGTACCAGAGCTGGAATGGTCAAGTCACGTGCAAGGGACAGCAAAGCAATGAGCTGGCAGGAGAGTTGGCGAAGGTAGGGCTAGGGGGAGAGGGCCCCGAAGGACAGGGGTCTGGGTTGGAAGGAGCTTCTGCGTGGAGGGCTCAGAGGAGCACTGCGTGCAAGTGAACTGCAGGGAAATTGACTTTTTTTCTTCACCCAAGTGCAAATGTGTGCAGATCGCAGAGGCAGATTGCAAAGTCAGCGAGCCGGAGTGGTTAAGACTTGGCAGCGAGCGTGCCTAGGTTCACATACTGGTCCATCTGCTGGACAGGCTACCTAATAGCTCCAGACAAAAGCTGCACCTACCCTAGCAGGGTGACATTCAGATTGAAAGAGTTAATTCCTATAAAGTGCTTAAAGCAGGGCCTGGCACACAGTGAGCTCTGAATCGGTGGTCCTCAACCTGGCTGAGCATTCAAATGACTTGGAGTGCTTTTTAAACATACCAATGCCAGAGGATTTTTAGGGCTATGAGATTACTCTTGATGATCCTAGAGTGGTAGATACATGTTATGACACCTTTGTCCAAACCTATAGAATGGACAGCACCAAGTGTGAACCCCTACGTAAACTACGGACTCTGGGTACTAATCAGGTGTCAATAGAGGTTCGTGGACTGTAACAAAAGTACCGTGTGCGGGGGCAGAGGATATATGGGAACCCTCTGTTCCTTCTGCCCAATTTTGCTGTGAACCTAAAACTGTTCTAAAAAATAAAGTCTATTTAAAAGGAAAAAAAATACAAATGCCAGAGCCCCACCCCCATCCCTCAAAAAAACAATCGAGCAACATCACAGGGGTGAAACCTTCGCCATGGGTTCTTTTTGTTGCTGTTGTTTTAAGCTTCCAGGCTATTCTAAAGGGTGGCCAGCGCTCAGAAGCACTGACCTAAATACACGTGAGCCCTTGTATCCTAGTGAGTGCGCTTGCGGGACAGGCAAGCTGATGGTCTTCTCGTGGGGACGTGTGGGGAGAGGTTTCCTCGTTTGGCATGGAAGCTCTGCACTTCTGAAAGTTTTCTGAGCCTCTGGGAGCAAGGCAGACCCACCAGAGATTCTTTGATCAAGCAGTGGACAAACTGATTTCAGAAAGGAAAAAAAATCTGTGGTATTACTACAACCAGGCTTCGCTAATACACGACCGACTCCTCTTACCAAGATAAGTCAGAGACCTGCTCCCCCAACCTTACCTCCCCTTGCCCGCCTTTTTTTTTTTTTTTTAGATGGGGTCTTGCTCGGTCACCGGCTATTCACAGATGCGGACGTAGCTCACTGCAGCCTCGAACTCCTCACCTCAAGCGATCCTCCCACCCGGCCTCCTGAAGTGCTGGGATTACAGGGGTGAGCCACGGCTCCCAGCCCCTCCTTCATTTATTCTCTTTCACCGGACCCATTACATAGTTGCTGGTTTGTTAAATGACTGACTCCTCCTATTATCCCTGTCCCGTGAGATCAGGGACCGCAGTGTTGCCATATCACCAGGGTCTAGAACAGTCCCTGGCACGTAGTAAAAGCCTTCTACTGGATGGCTCTATGCTCTCTCTGGGCCTTGGGTGACCTATAAAGTATAAGGAGTGCCCTAGACCAAGTGGATCTGACCAATTAAAGCAGGTCTTAGGAATGGGACTTGAGCATCAGTTTCGGGTTTTTTTTTTTTTTTTAAGAGTTCCCCAAGGTTAATATATAGGCAGGAATGGGCCAATCCTTAGGGCAGGGCTTCTCGTGTGTTAAATGAGCGCACGAATCACTTGGGATCTCGTTAAAATGTTCTCATTCGCTAGGTCTGGCCTGGGAGCTGGGATTCGGCCATTCTAGCAAGCTCCCAGCACATGCTGATGCTGTCGGTTCAAAATCTAGCTTCAAGCAGCACTGTCTTAAAGTCGCTTCCAGCTCTGTGACACCAACATTTCTACAAAAGGTGAACATCCCTTTACTCTCAGGAAAATATCAGCTGTCACTCGCCTTGCTGCTCAATGTGAGCTGAGTTCCGTAGCCAATGCCTGGCAATCTGCCCCCACATGCAAGTCTGTGGGCGTTCGGTGTTGGTTTTGCTTTTTTAAAAAACACTAATTGCTGGACCCGGCCAGGCAGGGGGAATGAGCGAAACCAGACAGGAGAACGCCTCTCTCAAAAGCAGGCTCCCAGACCTGTGGTCAGGGAAGAATCCCATCACGATTCGATTGCTTCTCTTTGTCTGCTGTCTGTCGTCAGGGCCTGGTGCCTGCTGTGTCCCGTGCCCCTCTTGTCTTCTCAATTGGCCATCTCATCGTGCCTCCGCCTGGCTGCTGTCTGCGGTGCCTGGGCGAGTGGAGGTGGCAATTGTCCGCAAACAGGAGAGCAGGGGACCCGGGGGAAGGCTCATTAGGGCTGTCAAGGAGGCTCTAACTGGGGAACAGTCTCCACCCTGCCGGAGCAGCAGCCCCAGGGAACGGGGATGACAAGGACAGTAAGGGAGCAGCCACCTGATGACTAGCTGCTCTGACACCCTGCCATTCAAATGGTGACGGGGCTGCTGACACAGTGGCTTTTTCCTACAGGTCCTGCAAAACGTCTGTTAAAAAAAAATGATTGTCTTCACAATCTGCTTCCACACCAGAACCTCTGACCACCACGAAGCCACAGCGATTGGCATCGTTTCCCAGGTTCCGGTGGACCCTGCCCTTGGGGCAAAACTGTACGAACAAAACTGCTGGCCACATTGTTTTATCTCCTTCCACAGATCTTTACTGAATGTCACCTGAGAGACAGGTGCCATGCCTGGTGCTCGAGACACCGCAGGGAACAGATCAGGCAGGTCTCTGCTCCCGGGGCTCTTCCATTCCATGGGGTCCTGCTCCAGTTGCGGAGAGTCACAATACACAAAGACACAAATAGATGTACGTTATGGCTGAGGACGACCCAAGTGTCCACCAACAGGTGACCGGAGTAACAGATTGTGGTAGATCCACACGGTGAAATACTGAAACATGACTCAACAGTAAAAAGAATGAGCTGTTGATACACCAGACATAATTACCTGGCAGGCAAGAAGCCTCATACAAACGAGCGCATATTCTATGATCTCATTTGTATAAAATTCTAGAAAATATGAATGACTCTGTAGGAACAGGGAGGAGAGAAGTTACTGTTTGAGGATGGGTGGGCAGAGACAGGCAGGAAGGTGGGATTGGAAAGGGACTTGTGAAGTCTTTTGGGGGTGACAGATGTGTTCACAGTCTTGATTGTGGGGATGGCTCTGGGGGTATATGCATGTATCCAAGCTGACCAAACTGGACACTCCACATCTGTGTAGTTCATATGTCAGTGACACTTCAATAACGCTATTGAATGTGTGTGTGTATGTGTGTGTAAACATGTCATGTGCTAAGTGAAAGATAAAGCGAGATGAGGAAGGTAGGGTGTGCTGGGGGTAGCCAGTCCTATTTTAAATGGCTGGTTGGAGAAGGTCTCAGGTGACTTTGAGCAGAAACCTGAAGGGAGTGAGAGCGCTAGCCTCCGGGCTCCCTGGGAAAGAGCATTCTAGGGAGCAGGAATGGCCGGGGCAGGGCAGTGTGCTCCTAGGCCCTATGCACACCTTTGAGCCCTGTAATGGCTCAGAACGGAGGAAACCCTCTGGGGTTTGTACTAAACAATTGCCCCCAAGCTCCACGTGCCTTCTTTGCATCTGCGCCGTCCACAGGGTAGTGTCCATGTCCTTGGCCTGAGCCTGGCTTCTTAGTCACACCAGCTCTAGAATCTGCACTAAGATTCTCGTTCTAGAATTCAAAGGTCAAGGCCAGGTGTGGTGGCTCACACTTGTAATCCTAGCACTATCAGAGGCCAAGGCAGGAAGATCACTTGAGGTCAGGAGTTCAAGACCAAACTGAGCAAGAGAGAGACCCTGTCTGTACAAAAAAAAGAAAAAACTATATATATATATAGATAGATAGATAGATAGATAGATAGATAGATAGATAGATAGATAGATAGGGGTGGTGACACGTGCCTGTAGTTCCAGTTATTTGGGAGGCTGAGGCAGGAGGATCGCTCGAGCCCAGGAGTTTGAGGTTATAGAGAGCTATGATGATGCCATTGCATCATCATAGGCAGAAGGGACTTGGGGGCTTTCATGGGATGCCCTCAGCTGAGTGTATGATTGGGAGAAACAAGGCTGGGCTGCTCAGGACAGAGACATATGTTGTGGACTGCACCTCGTTCTTAGTCTTGCTCCCCTACAAAGTGGGGACAAAGCCCTTCCCAGGGCTCGAAAGGCCTGCTTAGGTTCCAGGCCTGCCTCTAACTAGCTGTCCACTTTTGCCCAGTGACTTCTTTATGATGTTCTCCTTGGAGGGAGGCGGTCAGATGTTCTCTATTGCTAACACCATGATTTCTAATCAGCAAGACTGCCCATCTTTTCGATCTTTTCAGAAGTGTCTGCCCTGATTCTGTGATTACTAAGTAGGCCTGTACCCCAGCTGGCTCAAGAACTTCCCTAATGTTCCCAGTTGATTCTCAGAAGGTGTTGATGGAGTGACGATTTCAGACACATTCAATGCGTGTCCAATTTCTAGTGATGGGTGCACCTTTCTGTGGCTGTCCCAACGTCTTAGGAGGGGCTCTTGGATCAATCCATTGCCTGCCCCCAGGCTAGCATGATTTGCCCTCAGGAGTCAGCACTGTGGTGGGAACAGCTGCCCAGGTTCCAGTCCCCAGGAAAGGGTGAGTGAATATCCCTGGGCCTGGCCTATGACCATTCACTTCTTGGAAACCCTTACCTACTAAAGTCATAACCAGAATATGATGACAGGCAGTGAGTGTATTCTCAAAAGGGACCTATCACCCCGGGGGCTAAATGGGAGTTTCTGGTCATACCCTCAGGCTTCAGGTGTCATCTGAGTAATCCTTAACCTGCTGAATTCATTCAGAAGAATGTCACAGGAGCCCGCCTCAGCTCTGTGCTGGGAACACAGAAGCCTTCCGGGTGCCAGAAAGTTCGACTAGTCATCCTTAAGACTTGTTAGACCTACTTAAGCTCACAGGAACATGAAGTTCACAAAATGCTTTCCAATCTTGGATGAAAAGCATTTTCTCTCTTAGCCAAGACATAGCAGGATTCAGTCATCTTTATTTCTACCGAATTATTCCTTGATCAAGCACATTAATTACATTTTACCATCCAAAATGGAAATAGAGAGGGAAAATACTGCCTTTCTTATCTTGAAACTGTCCTATTTTAATTAGTTCTAAAACTATAGTTCAAGGTGCAGAGCATGTTTAAAGCACACAAATAATAAATAAATAAATACTGATTATTGAGTATTATAAAATTTTTCCTGTGTTGATTTAATCCCCATAACAACCCTAGTAAGCAGGTACTATTATTAAAGCTATTTTATAGATGAGGAAACTGAGGCACAGAGAAGTTAAGTAACTATCCCAGGATAATACAGCTTGTGGATCTGGGATTTAATTCCAGATCTTCAGATCCTGGCTCCCAATAGTGGAAATAATATTCTGTCCTTTGTAAGGGAAGCTGTTGGTGACAATTCTACTATTAGCAGGTTGTGTGCTTTGAGATATTTCTTCCAAGAATGGGAACATCTTTCACTGATTCACCTATACTCATTTTGCCCAGGCTCATTCATGACCATCAACTCATGTTTTTCAGATGTCTAGCAAAGGATTTAGCTTTCCTCAGGTGAACATGAATAGAAAGAGGCTGATGGCCCTTCTAGGGGCTGAACAAAGCATTTGGCACAGACCAGCACAAACAATTCTCAAACCAGAGTGGCTTAAGGAATGTAACGTAGTGTCCCAAAGCTTCTAAGGTCTGTCTGCCCAGAGGGACGTGAGGAATAGCTGGGAAGACTGACACATTACTGAAGTCACAGATTCCACCTTCTAAAACCCATCCGAACTGGGTCATGAGTCTAAGCACATATAACAAAAACAGCTTCAATCCTTGAATCTGGGTCACAGCGCTCCTGTTAAATATTCATTTCTTTCTCTGTGTCTGTTTCCTCCACGGGTCTGTGAGATCATGGAAGTCTTTGATCTGTGACTATTTAGTGCTGTGACTACAGCATAGGACATGTTCTTAATGTTTGTTGGATAAATGAATGGTTAAGAATGAAAAAAAAAGATTCTCCAGGCAAGGGGAAACCATAGATGGTTTTTCTGAGCGGGATAAAAAATTTGCAAATAGGTGATTTAAAAGATTAATTGAGCATTCCATTAATGGATAGAGGGTGTAGTTGATTATAAAACTTGGCACTAATTTCTCCTATCTGAGTATGCATACCTTGTTGCAATGTGGCCTTGCCTTTGTACTCTTCAAGAAGTGGAGTCTATTTTCATGCCTCTTTACTTTTTCTTAATTTTATGTATTTTTATTGGAGATGGGGGAGGGGTGTCTCACTATGTTGCCAAGGCTGAGCTTGAACACCGGGGCTCAAGTGATCCTCCCACTTCAGCCTCCATAATAGCTGGGACTACAGGCATGAGCCACTGCTCCTGCCATATCTTCCTGCCTCTTAAAGCTGGGTTGGCCCTATGACTGCTTTGGCAGGAGCATGAGACAGAAATGGTGGAGGGGTGGAGCTCAAGAGGTCCTCAGCTCCATTATCTTGGAATGCTGCCCTGAGACTGCCCTGTAAGGGAGCCAGTTCCAGCCTCCTGGAGGATGAGAGACCAGGTGGAAGAGAGCTGAGTGGCCCAGCCAACAGCAGCACCAATTGCCGGGCCTGTGGGTGAAGCAATATTGGACCTTCCAGCCCAGCCCATTCTCAACCTGACCCAAGTGGCATCAGTGAGCATGGAGTAGTCAGGCACAGCCAGCAGAGTACCACCCAGCCAGCCCTCAGAACCACAAGGGAGGATAATCTGGTATTCTTTCAAGGCCCTCAGTTTCCTGGTTTGCTACAGTTTCTCAACCTCAGCACTCTTGATGTTTCAGATTGGCTCATTCCTTATTGTGGGGGGCTGCCCTGTGCCCTGCCCAGTGTTTAGCGGCACCCTTGGCCTCTCCCCACCAGATACCAGCACTACATATTCCATGCTCTCCAGTCATGACCATCAAAATGTCTCCAGACTTGGCCGAATGTCCCCTCAGGGCAAAAACATAAATGACCCAGAAAACCTTGCTGATCCTGGAGTAATCAATATCCAATTTGGAGCAGAGCTGAAAAATATTCTTTGCCTCTTGACACGTAGATGCCTCCCAGACGGTCTAGATCAGGGGTTCTCAAACTATGGCCCACGGGCCACATGTGGCCCTCCAAGGACATTTATCCGGCCTGCCGGGTGTTTTTGCTGCGGCCGCTGCCTGTCCTGCTTAGCAGCCGACTCGTCCGGGACCCACAGTGCGCATGTGTGGAGTGTGCGCCGCACTCTCCAACGGCCCTCCAACGTTCTGAGGGACAGTGAACTGGCCCCCTGTTTAAAAAGTTTGAGGACCCCTGGTCTAGATGCACCCAGCTGGTGTATTGGAACTAGCACTACATTGTCAGAAAACTCTGGCCAGACCTGTGCCGTGGTAGGCAAATGGCAGCACTTCCTTACACCAGACTGCTCATGTATACCATGTATTGGTTTCCCAGGGCTGCCAATAAACTACCACAAACTGTGGCATAAAGCAACAGACGATTATTCTTTTGCTGTTCTGGCAGCTTGAGGTCCAAAATCAAGGTATCGCCAAGGCCATGCTCGCTCTAAAGACTGCAGGGGGGGTCTTTCCTTGCCCCTCCCAGCCTCTGGTGGGTGCCGGCAACCCTGGGCGTTTCTTGGTTTGCAGTCATATCACCCCTCACTCTGCCTCCGTCTTCACACAGCGTGTCCCCTCTGTGTGTGTCTCTGTGTCTGTTTTCTCTTTTTATAAGGATACCCATCACTGAATTAGGGCCCACCCTAATCCGGCAGAAGCTCATCTTAACTAATTATACCTGCGAAAATCCTACTTTCAGATAAGGTAGCATTCTGAGGTTCCAGGTGGACATGGGTTTGGGGGACACTATTCGACCGTGTATACCCTATACACAGAGGGGTTTATGGTGACCGTGCCGTTCTCCTGGCCCGTGCCTGGCAAGGCCTGCCCCCCCCCAGCCGCTGCCAGGGCTGTGCTGCCCAGAGAGCCAGAGGGGCTGCCTCACCCTCGTCCGTCCGCCCAGGTGCTGGCTGGGCTTTGCCGTCCTGCCGTGTCCCCTCCCCTCCCTCCTGCTCTTGTGATTGCCACCATCAAGGGAGGCCTCCTTGCTGAGGAGGGGATATATCTGTCTAGGCGTGGGTTCCTGGACAGATTTTTATCTGTTGCTTTGCTGCCTCTCTTTAAACTGTGTTTGTAAGAGACCACAATTCCCCGTTTATATGCACATGGTTGCAATTTGCTTTCACTATGAGGTAGAAAACATCTATTTGCATTTTCCTCCCCGCCTCCTAGCTCCCACATCCTTTGAAAAAAAAAGAAACAAAACTCTTTTTCAAGCTACGGTGCATACCATAATATGATTATTGATGTTCTCTCTCCCTTTGATCGGTTCTTGGCTATCCACTTCTCTCTCCTGCCAAGCACACTTGACCCATGGTGATGTAAAGGTTACAGCAGCACTGATAAGTCCCTTCCAAGCCGTCCCATTTGCCTGAAGTGCCCGGGTTCATGAGATTAGCGTGGTATGAGGAGGAGAGTGCAGCAGGGAGAGGGGACTTGGGGTAGAGGAAAGACAGAAAATCAAAAGGTCTATAAATACAATGGCTGGGCTCTCAGCCTCAAAGCACAACTGCAGATTAGAGTTGTTAAATCAAAAAAGCCCTTGGGAAATTCGGAAACAGG